ATAAGAAGTAACCATTTCTCTTGCTACACAATGGCTATTATGTGAGAATTTCCAGCATCCCGATGGGCATATGTAGGGTTGTCTTTCAGCTTGAGCCACTCACTGTCAGGAAGCTGGTCTTCTGACTTCAGAAGAGAAGGCAGGGCTTGAGGAACATCTTCTATGAGATAATTTACTAGAAAGGAAATAGGAGTTATTTTTATTTATTTATTTTTTTAAGATTTATTTATTTATACAAGCACTGGGTACAGCCAGAAGCGCGAGAGGGTGAGAGAATTCACCAGAGCCAGAGCAGGGAGCAGAACAAGCAGACTGACAAAGTACACTGCTGAGGGGAGCAGCGGGTGGCCGGAGAGGTCTGCGCGCCATGTGGGATCCTCCCCGGGGGCTGGGGATCGAACCGGCTCTGCAGAGGCTGGGGGCAGCTTTGCAACCCAGCACTCAACCGCTGCACCACCGGGGAGGCCTGGAAACAGGAGCTATTTGCAGTATGGAAGGGAGCAGAGAGAAATTAAAACCAGCATCATGAGGGTGATGATGAAAGGAGAAAGCAACAGTTAAGAAGGAAGAGAAACAGTGCCAAGAAGCCCTGTCACTGGCATCCTCTCCTCCAGTGAGTCCTGGGCATCTGAAGTTGCAAGCACTTCATCGTGGTAGAGGGGTTTTTGCAGGCCCCAGCAGCTCCAGCGTGGTTCCTGTCCAGAAAAGCGGAGAAGGCACAGGCCGGCTCCTGTTGACCGACTCAGAATTACATCATCTTCCTTAGGTGTGTTGCAAAAACACGTGGAAAGCCTTCCAAGAACCCAAAGCTACTTCCGCGCATATGGGGATGAAAGTTAGATATGCTGAAACCACCAGAACAAATTCAAACCAAGTGTTGACAGGCAGCGTGATGGAGTGGAGGGTGTGCTGTGTTATGCTCTGCAGAGCTGAGTTCAAACCTCAGGTCTGGAATGCACTAGTTGTAAGACTTTGGTTACCCATTTACCATCTCAATACCTCAGTTTCCTCCTCTGTACAATTATTATTATTATTATTATTATTATTATTAATTTGACTTTGTAGCCTCCTTCATATGTTTCTTACAGATTTCTAGTGGGATAATAAATCCAATGGGATTAGTTCATTTAATTATCACTGCAGCTGGAAATTAATTTTGCATTCTTAATTTTTACTTAAAATGAGGCAGAAAATGCTAGAAACCGCTTTGGCTATTGAAGGCACATATGTGCCTGGCCTGCCTGGTGGAGCACACATCATGAGAAATTGTGACCAGGTACTGAAAAAAATCTGTCACAGGGTCCAGTTGATGTTTAAGAAAAGGTCTTTAACTTCTAGTTACAAGTAATTCAATCAGGGGCGAAAATGAAACTACGGCTCCAATGAAACAGAATGTGTAGACAAACTCTGCTAGACTTTTTGTGGCAGAAAAACAGTTGGAGACAGTAATCTGTGTTTTGTTACCTCTGTATTTTCCCCTTTGTGTCCCATCCAACCCCTCCCGTTCATGTAGAGAGTTGGTTCCTGTTCATCTGGGGGGGGGGGGGGGGGTGAGGGGAGGGGGACATAAGAGGGAGAATATACTCATGGCCTAATAGAGAAGGGATCTAGGCCCCACTGCTTGACTGTTCTGGAACACAAGGAGCAGAATCCAACACAACCCCAGAAAGCGAATGGCATTCAGGTTATATCTCATTCATGGCCATACCACCCTGAGCACACTCCTCTCATCAGAATATATTAATAGCTATAGGCAGTCTTACAAATTGAAGCACATGTCCCAAGCGGAATTTGAGAGATTGAGAAGCAAGTGGACCTGGACCTGATAGGCCACAACACAGCAACAGTGGCCCCAAATTGTCCCATCATGTAGTTTGAATAAATCCCTAGAAAAACAATGAAATTCCAGAAGAGAAGAGAACTCAAGAGAGAACCATATTGATATTTCCAATCCATGATGGAAGTCTCAGAATGGAAATTAAGTTATAAAATGTCCCACTCTATGTCTTACACATAGGAACTTAGAGCTCGAAACTCTTTACCAGCAGCTATACTTACCCTGTCATGAAATTAAAGGTGCCAAAGAGAAGGAGAATCATAACAACATGAGGAAAAGCAGCCACTTGGAACACTCGAGAAGAGCAATTCAGGGAATTCCTAAGTCTTTGAATGCAAAAAAAATACATTCAAAATGTGCTCATGATACTAAAAAGGAAAGTAGTCCATATTAAAATGTATAAGGATCAATTTGTGCTAGATCACTTTTTAATTGATACTTGATGAAGTTTTTAAGTACTTTTTTCCTTTAAAAAGCTGCTATTTAAGTTGATGTTGGCTCTTACAATTTGTGATATTTTAAAATGGGAGAGGTGCGTTTTTCAACATTTTTAAGATTTTCAGCTGTCAAAATTCCTACCCATCAGCAACCAAAATATCTATAAGGGATTTATTTTTGTACTTTTTAATGAGCTACAGCTATATAATGGAATGCAGAACTTAGAAATGGTCTCAGAATATTTAATGGCATGGAAAATGTTAAAGTTGGAAAACAAAAACCTGTGTGTGCATAACCTACAGTTCTGCTTCCATGGTGTTTACCAAGCCCTCTAAAGATTGCCCTTTAATCTAATAATTTAATGTCTCGGGAGTTGTTAGTCCTTCACTGCAGCAACCCCTGCTGCCGTGGCCATCATGTCCTTTCCTGGGTCGGGGCTCCTGCTGCACCTCCCCCTGCAATGACCTTTAGGGCTAACCGTCCCTAGGTCCAGCTGGGCAACCAGCGCGCAGGGGGAGAACAGCAAAACACCCTGAAGCAGGGGAAGTACAGCGAAGTTCCCTGAAAAGACAGAAGCTTATCAAAAGATAAAGACCACCAGGAACCACTACAAGAATGCTAAAAAACCTTATCCCGTCTTTCTAGAACTACAAACTTTAATCCCTTATTGTCTTTCTAAACTTCCTTCTTTCTTCTATAAAGGTCATTGCTTGTTAATTAAAAATCATATGAAATCCTTAAAACAAGGCTGACTCAAATGAAACATTACTAAACCCTGTAATAATTAAAATATAGTTTAGGTAAAAAAAAGTAGTTAATAAAAAATGCGATTATATAGTTTAAAAACAAAACTAATGGTCTATCTACTTAGGAATGAGGCTGGGTCCAGATGTAGATCACCGCCCTGTCGGTGATAGGCTCAGCCCATGAGCAAGCTGATTTCATTGATATTCATTGTCCCTGTGCTTTTGGAAAACATATATATACTGGTCACAAACTCAAAGAAAATTACACTCATATTTTCACTCTTGAAGTGTGTCTGTTTGTCATTTCTTTCACCGACGCCCTGACCACCCTGCACGCTTCTCTCAACCCTGAGGTGGCCTCATCGTCTACTGCTGTGCTGGTCCGCGGCAGGCTCCCTCACTGCTGAGCCTACATACAGCACCTAAAATAAAGACTGGACATAGTAGGTATGCAAGAAATATTCTGTTATATCACATTGAACCTGGAACACCATTTCTAGCACTTTGTCCAGGGTTCTGTACTTAATCCTGTAACTTTTTCAGTATTTCTGTACTTTTTATCAATACACTGCATAAACACATTTATATAGGGCCTCCCTGGTGGCCCTGGGGTTAAGTCTCAGTGCTATCACTGCTATGGCCTGACTTCACTCCCCAGCCAGGGAGCTGACCTCTCCCGTCTCACCCACTTCTCCCCTCAGCAGTGTATTTCAGTAAATATGCCTTCTTTGCTCCCCACTCTCTCTGGTAAATCCTCTCATCCCTCCCAAACCTGTGGCCGGCCTACACCCCAGTTCTATGCAAAAATAAAATCTATTAAAAAAAGACATGCCACTGTGCAGGAGTCACAGACACGCAGGCCTCAACCTTGGCTGTGGGCCTCACAATGGTGTATGAACTGATACCAGCCTCTGGTGTCATCACCCATGATGACAGAGCCTTGGTGGAAATCCAGGTTACCAGTGAAGACCTTCCGGCACACTAGTGGAGGGAAAAATAAGTCTTGACACATTGGAGAGATTGAAAGAAGCATTTTTACTATACGTGATTACCCTAGATTACTAGACGATGTAAAGAAGTCTGAAAGCTCCACAACAAAAAACAAGTAAAACCAGACACTTCCCTGGGAAGGGTCTGTGTTTGGTTAATATGTAATATCAGGGAAATGCCTTTACCCTGTTCTTCCCTCCAAATTTTACCACAACTCCCAGATCTCTTCAGGCCGTCCCAAGGCCCTCTTCCTTCCCTCTTCCCCTCTCCCAGCCCAAGAGCACCTTCCCTGATTCTGTCCTCCGGACCATGCTGTGGGCCCTGTCTTGCCGTCAGGAGGAAAGAATCCTACAAAGGCAGGGTGTGAAAGGAGGAAGGACTTTCAGGCATGGGGAAGAGGAAAGGCCAAGCCAGCGGGGTTTTCTGGAGCACCCCTCATCACGCCAGAGGCCACCAGTTTCCTTTCCTTCTCTTCTCAGATCAGCAAAAGAAGCTGAAGGATGGACTAACCTGGGTTTTTCTACTCCCTGAGTAGCAGAAAGGCTTTACCTCTCAAGTCAGTACTAAATGTGCCATGATTGCCAGCAAATTGACCTCTAGTTAGTTGACAGCTAAATATGGTCAAAGTGGGGGAGTTATGGCTGGTTGAGGTCCAAGTGGGGGACTTATGGCTCACTGTGTGTCAGGTCAAATGATGCATTGCAGAGGGGGCAAGTATTGGAGGAGTGTGTATGTGTGTGTGTGCGCACGCGCGTGCGTGTGTCCCACAGGGATAGATATACCGAGAATTGAAACAGTGGAGGGTGGAGACCTGCAGGGTCCTTTGAAACTCCCAGGTGGAACCCAGGTCGGACATACATCCTGCATGGACCTTTCCTGCCCAGCCAGGATATCCTGTGTTTGTCAAAATGACTGCACAGGGAAGGCATAACCATTGTCCTTCCCGAAATCTGCCAGTCAACCCCTCCCCAGCCTCCAGCAGCCGCCCCAGGCGGAGGAAGAATAACTTTGGAAACGTTGTTATCAGCATCCTACATGGACTTCCTCACCTCCTCCCCAGCTTCGTCAGCCGCAAGCTCCTTAGCATCCTCAGAGACCTGGGCGACCGGGATGGACTCCACGCCCCAAAGCCAGCCCCCCTCTCTTTTGCCAAAACCTGCCTCTGCACAGCCGTGAGTGGGCAGCCGAAGGCCGCAGCTGGAGTCCAGGCCGGGATGGAGCCCCGGCTGGGGCCCGAGGCTGCCGTCCTCCGCCGGGGCGGGCCGGCCCTGCTGCTGTGGGTCGTGGTCCTGAGCTGTTCTGTGTCCTCACCGGCTTCTCCCTCTCCTTCTCTGGTGCCCCAGGTCAGAACCAGCTACAATTTTGGAAGGACTTTCCTCGGTCTTGATAAATGTAATGCCTGCATCGGGACATCTATTTGCAAGAAGTTCTTTAAAGAAGAAATAAGGTCAGAATCTCAATGAGATAACTTGAAGGGGCAAAATTCTGTTCCTTGCACGAGAAGATATCCAGGAGTTTGTTGCAAATGGGTCAGGATGTAATGTATAGGTGGGAGCTAAAGCAAAACCATTTAATCATAATGATGATGGGGTGAAGTTAGGGTAGAAAGTGAGGGAAGATGTGAAGCGATATTCCAGACCAAAATGCTAAATTCAAAGTTTTCTTTTAAGTGGGAATTTAAAGTTTTCTTTCCTATGCGTCTAGTAGTCTGGAACTGTTGAGTTCACCAAGTTCATATCTCAGAGGGGGAGGCAAATAAGTTTATAGAAAGCCTACTGTGACCGACATTTTAAAGCTATTTTTATTTATTCCTCAAAACTATGCTGAGATTTTTTGGTTTTGCACGTGTCGTTCACTAAATTCAGTGACTTGGCATTTTGGGGCCCAAAGCAGGGCAGTTTGTTCTAAGGCTTTGGAACCAGTTTTCTGTTGTGAGATGTTGCCTCGATCAGAGGAAAGCCCAGATTTGGTGAAATGCACATAGCTCTCACCAAAAAGTCGTGTCACACTCGAATCCACGCCTGTCAACACAACGACCCACTCAGCATAGCCAAGGCCCAGCAGGTGCTGTAGTGACTCTTCTGGAACACTGATCAATCCTCCAGGGACTCAGGAGGAGGGAGCTGTGTGATAAATGGTGACAGTGAGATCTGATGGAGGCCAGAAGTGAAGTGTGAAGGATATCTCAGAGCTCTTGGAAGAGGAGATTAAATCCAAGAGCGGACAAGAGAAGGTTTTAAAGGATGAGCTGAAATTTAGTGGGAGGGGAAGGGGTTAAGGTAGGAGAACCAGCATAAGCAAAGTCCAAACGTCTAAGGAGAGATATGAAGTACGTACTGGCTGGAGTGTGGGACAGATGTGGATGTGTGGCAGGAGGAGGTTGGGAGGGTCAGACGGGCAGGAGGCTTTGAATGCCACACCAAGGAATCAGAACCTCAACCTGTGGGCTAATGGTTTAGAGTTTTTTCAATACCAAAGACCCTTGGTAATAGTTCTCTTCTCCTCTGCCCTCCCTCAAGGACCTACCTGGGGTTGATAAGATTTGGTGACCAAATTAAAGGCATTTATTTACAATAATTTCATTTACAAGATGATTTAACCAAATATATATTTCATTGTTTAACTAAGTTACTAAACGAAAATAACAAATAGAAGATGTAAGCAAAAATGTTGACTTTCTTTTGCAAAGTGGGATTTTATGAAGTTGATGTGGACTTTTCCTACTAGACTTTTATTTTTAGTTACCAAGCATTTACTATATGCCAGGCACGGTGATAGGCAGTGAACATTCAACTTTGACTAATAAAGAGGTGCATCTTGCACTCCTCGTGTTTGTAATTGGGTCGGGAAAGGGTTAGATGCCAAGTAATCATGTAGCATTTGTTCTAAAGGAGAAACCCAGGTACCAAGGGATGGAATTACAGGAGTCCAGGCCTGACCAGGGGACCTAGGGAGGCTTTCTGGAGGAGGTGAGATATAGGATCTTAGTGTGCATGTGAGAAGAAAGCTTTTCAGGTATATAGGACAAAAAAAAGGTGTGCAGTTGTGCGACCAGAAAGAGAGGTGAAATGTGGCTGAAGTATAGGGAGAGCTATTACGGGTTTTTTGTTTTTATTTTATTTATTTATGCATACAATAACTGGGGTATAGGCCAGAGGTGTGGGGGATGGTGAGAGGATTCACCAGAGACAGAGTGGGGAGCAGAACAGGTGGATTGACTGAAACACCCTGTTGAGGGGAGCAGTGGGCAAGTCAGGAGAGGTCTGCTGCGCCATGTGTGTTAACTCCCTGGCCGCGAATCAAACTCATGCTGCAGTGGCTGGCGATAGCTCAATAGCACTGAGACTTTAACCCCTGCACCACTAAGGAGGCCCAGGATGGATATTATGTTAAAAACCTATCTAAGACCTCCTTCACCCTCCCAGTCACATGCATACACACACATACTCTTACACACACAAAGACACACACACACATACATGTCCCTTCAAATTGCCCAGAAATCCCACCAACAAGATTATTGGAATTATTCCCAAAATAAGTCCCAAATAAGAAGTTACTATTCCCAGAATAAGTCTTGAATGTATTGATTCCACTGAATTCTTAGCAGAGAGAAGTTTTCAGACCAATTAAATCAGAATCTCAGGCAGTGGTACCAGGCATCAGCATTATCTAAAGCATTCCAGGTGATTCTAACTTAGTCAAGTCTTAAATCCATTGGCTTAGAGGCACTGTAAATTCCTTTTCAGGTTGGTTATGATTATGGCACTGGGAGATGGTCGGGAGAACACTGAAGAGATAAGGCACCAGCCTCTGAAACTTTGTGAAATATGTTACAGAAACAATGACAATTTACATTGAGCTAGGAATTCCCAAAGGACTGAGGAAAATACGGTCTCTGAAAGATTTAATTTTGAGCATCTGTATCTGACTATTAAAAGTCATTAGCTCAACATTCAAGAGGTACATACTGACTTCCTCATATGTATGTTCATATATACATGGATATAAAATGTTTATTGAGATAACATTGATTTATAGCACTATATATCTTGGGGATGTAGGTTCACACCCCTACAAATATCTGTTTCTATACCACACCCACCACCAAGGTACCCATAGTCCTTCAACACAGTCCATTGGGTCCCCTCACCCTTTGTTCTCCACCCATCATCCTCCCCCTCTGGTAGCCTCAGTTCTACAATCAGATTTCAAGGGTTTGTTTTGGTTTGCCTTTGTCTGTCCCTTTGTTTTGATTTTTATATTCCACATGTGAGTGAAATCATTTGGTATTTGTTTTCTCCTTACTTATTTTGTTTAGCATAATCCCCACCAGTGCCATCCATGTTGTCTCAAATGGCAAGATTTCATCTTTTTTATAGCTGAGTAGTATTCCATTGTCTATATAGACCATATCTTCTTAATCTACTCATCTGTCCCTGGACACTTAGGTTGTTTCCATAACTTGGCTATTGTAAATAGCTCTGCAGTGAACATAGGAGTGAGTCCATCCCTTTGATTTAGTGTTTTTTTGCATTCTTTGGGTTGATACTTAGGAGAGGGATTACTAGGTCATATGGTAGATCCATTTTTGAAAAACCTCCATACGTTTTCCATAAAGGCTGGACACCAACAATGTACCAGTGTTCCTGTTCCTCCACATTTGTTGTTTCTGGGTTTTTTTGATATGGCCCATTCTCACAGGTGTGAGGTGGTATCTCATTGTGGTTTTCATTTGCATTTCCCTGAAGATAAGTGATGATGAGCATGTTTTCATGTGCCCATTGGCCACTGTATGTCTTCCTTGAAGGAATGTCTATTTCCACGCTGACCTTGATGCTGTTGCTAGAGGAGGAAGAGGGGAGTAAATAAATGGTATGTGCCATGGAAAATTACTTAATTACCTGCCACCTCCATCTTGCTGGAGAAAGCAGCATGGGAAAGCTATTATCCACATAATTCATTCCTTGATAATAATTGTTTATTGCTTCCTAGCCTATTAGGCTTTTTTAAGGCAGTTTGAAAGTTACAAAGTTGATAGCCCCTCACTTTGGGGAAGCTCTATGCCAGGATACGGTGAGGGAGCAAGATGAGACCTATGATTTTGAAAGAGCTGGTAGAGAGCAGTGTGCAGGTGGCCCGGTGATGCCAGCAGGGGAGGCCAGACCAGTTCTCCCAGTCTGGGAGAAGGGTCATCAGGAATAAAACAGGGCAGGAAGGATGCAAGTTGACTTAGATATAGACTTGTTTTGTAGACCAGCTCGATATGAGAGGAAATACAGAGGCGGATGTTGAAAGTGAAATTGAGATTTCCCAACTAAGAAATGGAATAGAGAGACTCAAAACACAGTGGAACTGATTCCTTGGAGAAAGGCGGCCATGAGAAGATAGACATATTTTAAGATAGGAGGAAGGGAAATTAAGGTATTCTGCTTAAAGAAAAAAAAAAAAAAAAAACCTCCAGGTTCACATCCTACATCAGACAAGTAAATGACTCTTACAACTGACTCTTTGCCAAGTGGCAATAAATGAAGTTTTTCTCACCAGGCAGATATTGACCAAATTCAGGAAGCATTTCCCCAAGAGGTTTGGGTTCCATTAAAGTTCAGGATATTACTTCAGCTCCCTCAGAATTCATTTTCCATGTGTGCGTAAAGGGGAAGTGTGTAAATACAAGCAGGAAAGCACCAGGTTGGGCAGACCGGGGTTAGCAGCTCTCCATGTGGAGAATGAAAATAAGCAGAGAGCCAGTAAGTGGGTCTGAAGATGTGGACATGATAGTCTATATCCTTTTCTCCACATTTAAATAACTTTTTTTACTTAAAAAATAATATCTGTGTGTTCTAGAAGTTCAGTAAATATTGATTTAAGAGCGCCCCTAATAAAAATCACATGTAATTGCTCCACCAAGCACTCAGCCCTCTGTTAAAGTTTTGGAGTATATCCTTGCCACTTTCTTATTTATTTATTTGCTTATTTATTTATTTATTTATTTATTTATTTATTGTTAATGAAGTAGCATCCTCCGCCGTCATCCACTCTCCTTGCCACCTTCCTTCTAGGAATGTTTTCCCAACAAAACTGTCATTCCCTTTCTAGGAATTTTTTCCCAACAAAACTGTAATTCTACTATGTATATACTTTTATAAACTTTTATTTAACAATATATTGGGAATACCTTTCCACATTAACTATTTCACTCCACGACTTGATGTTTTTTCAAACAGCCGGACACATAAAAGTTTTTTTCTTTTTTTTTTTTTTTTAAGGTCAGGAGAAGCTTTATTACTCATGCATGAGGTCCCAGACAGGTTTTATTATTAATGCTCTCATGAAAAATCTGCACAATCGCCACAGATAGTCACTGCAGAAACCACTCCTTCTCTTGTCCAATCTTGCCACTTTTTTGCCAGCACCCACACTAGCCTTGGCAGTCCCTCCATCTTC